GGGGGGGGGGGGGGGAGGAGACACAAAGCACACACAGCATTGTTAAGGGAGCTGTCAGTTCGACTCAATATGCTTTTGCAGCGTTAAAGGTTCCAAGCAGTCCTCTGCACAGGGAACTGACCAGGCAATATTGATCTCACTCGAGGGTAGTTTTCTTAACAAGAATGTGCCCACTCCCTGAGAAAACCAGGCTTCACAACCAGCCCAAATTCCTTCTACTGTACATTCAAAGCTTCAGGGGACAGAACCAGCTCACAGTGCTCCAGACCATTATGCCCAATTCCAGATTGCCAGGCCAGGCCATGGCTAAATCAAAGTGACTCTAGAGTGGTTTGTGAGGGATGCAATTCCTACTTCCCTAATGAGTGTCCGTGACGAGCTAACACTCAAAGATCAACTGGCATACCATCCATCCTATAGCCGGTGCAGCAAGCAGCCATAAGGCAAAAAGGCGCCAAGAGAGAAAGCACCATCACAAAATAGGCTAAGCCTTGAGTGGAGGGAAAAATCAAAGGCTGCAGCTCAGTCGGGACTGTTTTGAGAGTGGAAGGCAAGTGATCTGTATCAGAAAATAGGGGCCCAGTTTGGTTCCAATGAATTACGGTTATTCTGCTACCTGCTGCTACCTGCGTAACTGAAGACAGATCACACGTTGCCTCCCAAGACGCAAGAGATGGCTTTAGGAACCCACACCCATTTTTCACTGACATAAAAAGTTACCTGGTATAATCCACCAGTGTGGAACCAGACCCGTCAGCTGCTGCCATTTTCCTCCTCAGCTTTCCTTTGGGTTTTTCTTGCTTCGTTTTGCTACCGGCTGGCTCAGGTTTCTCAGCTGAAACTTCTTTCACACCAGGGATGTTCTCGGTGCCGGCAATCTTTTTGCCAGTTTCTCTGTTCAGCTTAATCTTTTTTGCCGGAACGACAGGCAAAACCGCTTTGTCCTTTTCAGGGGTCCTCTCTGCTTTTTCACCTTCTGGCTCAGTTTTCCCCTTAGGCAAAGGTTTCAATTCTGTAACATCTTGTTTCGAAGTTTTTGAAGAGATGATTTCAGGGTCTTTATCTCCTTTCTCCTCCACTTTTCTTTTTCTTTTCTCTGATTTTGCATCTGCTGGTTTATTTTTGTCGATGGGCTTCTTTAACTTTTCCTCTTTGCTGGGCTGCTTCTCCTGCTTAATTTCCTTGGGGTGTTCTTTCTTGACTTTCTCCTCCTTGGCCAATCTAGTCTCTGGAGGCTCTTTTACACCACGGGAATTCACTTTGCGTGGTGTACTAAGTGGCTTCTCATCTTTTTGAGAGGACGGCTTTGTACCATCAGCTTTGGCCGGCTCCTCTTTCACCTTTTTTGCAGGAGGGTCAGGCCGTGGCGATTTTTCACGATCAGCTTCTGCTTTTTCCTGGGGTGCTTTGGCCGGCTTCACCTGCACCTCTTTCTTGGTTGCGGCAGGACCTTCTGTTTTCCGTTTTGTCTTTTCAACTTTGGCCTTTGGCTTCTCTTTCCTTTCTTTGTCCGAAACGGGTTTAAAAGCCACTGAGTCTGCTTCCATGGGCTCGTCCCTGACAGGGGTAGCATCATCCCTGCTAGAAAGCACAAAGAGTGGGTCAGGTTTGCTCTCTTCCGCCGCGGCGGCAGGGTCCCTGGGCTTCCGGGAGCCTTCCATCAGGTCAGCACTTGGGAAGCCTTCCCCCTCTTCTCCCTTTCTTCTCTTCCGGTGCTTCTTGTGTTTGTTTCCCTTCACATCTCCCGGTGGGTTTTCCACCTCCTTCTCTTTCAGTTTCGGCATATCTTTCAAACCGTGACCTTCTCTCGCTGTCACCTTTTCAGAGTAGCCACTGCCGATGTTTCGATTTCGATGGCCTAGCCCGCCAGGGTATTCCTCTCTACGGCCACGGATATAGGGGGAATTCTCGCGCCTTGGCCCAGAAAGGCCAAACCGTTCTGGGGAAAAGTTCTCTCTGTTAAGCAGGGGGCGAGGCTGGGCCCCAGCGGCAAAACCCTTGCAGTACTTCTCATATTTCTCACACCAATCTCTGTAGCAGTCCCAATTGCGGTACCTCTCCTTCTCAAAGGGGTCTCTCATCTCCACCGATCTGCCATAGTAGGCCTTCATGTCATAAAGGGGCATTTCTCGATAGCGACCAAAGTACTCTCTTTCCCCTTCTCCCTGGGGAACGGGGTGCTTATTGGGAGACTGGCCTCTGTACACCGGGGACCTTGATCGTGAGTGATACCTTCTGTAGGGCGGCGACCGAGATCTCGAGCGATGATAGCCGTGGGATCTCGACCTGGAACGGTAATTGCGACTCTTACCCCGGCCTCTCCGTGGGTAGGGGGGCGAGCGAGAATAGGACCGGGAGTGGGATCGGCTGAAGGACCGAGAGTACGATCGGGAACGAGAGGAACCGGATCTTGACTTGGAGTAGCTATAGGAACTTCTTGAATAGGAAGATGCGCTGTAGGGCGATTTGCTACCTGGGAAGAAAATGAGAAGAAGAAGAAGAAGAAAAAGTTTGTTTAACTACAGGTCTTACTAGCTGTGCATCAATTTCAGGGCACAAAGAAGACACAGCCAGCCATCTATCTTCTGTCCAAAAATTCTCCCAGCATTGAGCAAGGCAGAAGACTAACGGACACAATTCACAGTGGCAGTCTGGGGAAGCTTTGGAATTTCTTCAAGATCCTAAATAATGAGCCCCTCAGCCATGGTTCTCTTTAAACTTTTATTTCTTAAAACCTTTGAAAAACATTTCAACACTGTATTGTTCTTCCAAATGTAGGGTGGGGGTGTGAACAGGATTTTAGCCCATCAGCTGCACTGCAATCTGCACTGAAAGAGAATTAATTGGTATCCTGCATTATTCCCACCAGTCCTGCAACCCATATAAACACATAAAGCCACGTCAGACCACTAATGCACCCATCCCAGCACCATCTACTTTAAGCAGCTACAACTGACCCCATCTTGATCACCCACAATCCATTAAACAAAACAAAACAACCTCCTAGAAATAGAAAGGACTAAACTAGGGAGTTTCCAAATCCAAAGCACGCCACACACCCCCATCCATCTCCACTGGTATCAATAACGGACACAATAAAGAGAATTACCGGGAGTAAGAACGCCTGCGTTCTTTCTGGATTTTTTTATATTCCATCAGTTCTTTAGCAAAATCATTTGTAAATTCATCAAGCTTCGACTTTTTCTTTTCCCTGTTAAAATAAGAAAATGATTGTGACATGGAGCCACAGCGATCTGTCAGAGAAAGCATTAAGAGAACCATGCCAGCTTGGAAAACGACACTGCATGCACATGAAAATGAACCAACTACTAAAAATAAAAATTTAAAAATAAGGGGGGGGGGAGAGAAACAGCACATCCACGAGACATGTCACGGTATTTGGTTAGAATCGTATTTCTGTAGGTTTTTAATCTGAAGGGTTATTTTCACTGGCAGCGAACATCCACATTTGAAACCTGGCGTTTTCTGTCACGGTGGCTTCCCAGCACGTGTGCCGGGAATGTCAGGACAGTCAGTTACATTCCACTGAAACAGAAGGAGGAAACAGAATGAAACTTCATTCAGAGCCAGATACTTACTCCTCTTTCAGTCTCCGCTGCTCTCTGTAAAACTCCTCCCTAGATAAAGGAGGTGCCTGTGTCGTTGGGATGGCATTTGAGTGAGCCGTTGGTACAGGTGTTGGTACCCAAGGTGTTGATATGTTTGCTGGAGCCGGGGGGTATCCCGGAGGGGGGACAGTGTACCCGGCAGGTGGAGGTTGGCCCGGTGGAAACTGAGGAGGAAACTGTGGCGGAGGCACCCCCGGTGGAAGAGGAAGGGCATGAGGAGGTGGCGGAGGAGGAGGATACAAGGGAGGAGGCGGCACCGGCACAAAGACTGGGGTTGAGGCTGGCAATGTTGGGGCCTGAGTCCTTTGTGTACGGTCACTATGCGGGCGTCCTCGGTTTGAACTTCTAAAGAAACCCAAAAACACGTTGTCACCGAGCGTTATATTGGCCCCTTGTTCGCAAGAGAGGGGTGTGAAACAGACAGGCCCCCGCCCTCTGCAGAACCTGCCCGCCTTGCCTCACAGCTTACCCTGTTCTGAACGGCTCTGCTGGTGCCCCTCCGCTCTGCCCACTGGCAGAGGCTCCCAAGGCCTCTCCCAAAGAGCCCTCCCTTCTGCACTCTGTTCTTCTCTTTTCAACCTCCCACTGATGCTCTTGAATCTGTGATCCCTACAGCATTCCAGGCAGTTATTGACACGGGGTTGAATCACCAGTTCATTGGTTTTTGCAGTGTTAGGAAGATGATGATCAGGGAGCCTGGTCCTCTGACTCAGGTCTGGTAACTAGAGCTAGTGCTGACATTAATGAATGCTACCTCTTCTATCCCTGCCAATGGCCGGTTACTCAAACTATGGAAACTGCCTTCTGAAATTCAGCATTCGGCTGCATACAAGCCAGGGCAGCTTCCTCTCCATTTTTGCCTGGTGACTGTTTCAATGTGTTGTTTACTACTGAACTAGATCTCCATAATATATTTTAATGGGCATCCTTAAGGCAGCATCTAACCGTCCCTGTAGAGAAACGAAACAGGCATGCTTCCCCCACACAGGTAACCAAGAGTGGCTGAATATGCTTATCACGGACTAAACTTGCTGTTAAATCTATAAATATATAACCTTCTGAAGATATACTTACGGCTCCCAGCTTGACCTACTGCCTGCAGAGCGAACAGGGTTGGTTCTCACTGGCTGACCTACGTGGGGACAAAAAGGACAATTGCTTTAGGTCTATGCAGAGGGACCACCGTTGCACCAAACAGCTGGGATCAAAGTGATGGCACTTACCCATGGTAGGTATGGAATGCCCATGAGAGCCCAGCTGCCCTGACAAGGCTGGCTGTCCAAGCACAGGAACCTGATAGCCCTTCAGGGAGAAAAGAGAGTAAAATGAGGGGCTGCTACTGTTGAGATACACAAATGAGTTCAGTTCAGAGACAAAGTTTACCTTTTCCTCCATCAAAGGATTAATTGCCAATGAAGGTGGTTTTGTGTGATCTGAGGCAGATAATGTAGCAGCAGCTGGTCCAATGTTATCATCATCACTGCAGTGAAACAAGAAAAATCAAGGTTAGAATGGGTGCCATGAAGCCACCACTTCATTCCAAGATGCACTCATAAATAGCAGGAGAGTCAGAAAGCAGAAACCTCTAAAACGGCCCTTTTCTAGCTGACATTAAATGATTCTACACCTTGAAGATAGGCCTCAGCTCATGACTAAGAAAGGCAACTGAAGTGTGCGTTCTTCTGGAACCAAGGGAGTAATCTTTCTCTGAACTGATCCACTTTGCCTCTAAATGTCTTCTGAGTAACAGGAAATATGCAAGAAAGCACTCAGACGGGTCAGGTTGGTTTCTAAGCATTAGACCCAAGACCACTTGGGCCATGGAGGGTGCAGATGTAGAAAGACCACATTAGACCCCTGGGCTGGAGATCCCCGTTTTATAAGCTGACTCACCGGAAAGGTCCTTCTGGTTTATCACCTCGAACTGCCATCGATATGGATGCAGGAACGTCACTAGTGGATGCAGCAGCAGGCTGACTTATGGGCAACGTGGCTGCTGACGAAGCTGACTGACTGGGAGCTATTGACAAGGTGAGGGAGACAGCTGTGTGTCCGGGGGCAGAAGTGGTTGGAATTATGAGGGGATCCTGCTGCCTGGAGCCCATGGATCTTGGGGTGGAAGGAACATTCCGCTGAACTGCCTGTCTAGGCAGCTGGGTCTGCTTCCGGAGCCTCTTTGTGTAGCCAGTTTCATTTTTGAAGTTATTTACAGCCTAAAGGGGGAAAAAAAACCATTAAGCAAAAGAAATTAACCAAAACATCAAATCTTCCTTTCATAATAGGAGTAACACGTATGTGCTTTGGTAACAAAGGCCATTATTTCTTATTTGAATGGGGCAGCTAAGAAGTCTTGAGTAACTGTTCAATCTGGCTGTGGACTGCACAGAGGGAGAGAAGCATTTCAGCATCTGAGCTGGGCAGTAACAAGAATAACAAGCTGGCCTGACCCTATTACACTCTCTTCAACCTTTCCTGGGTGACCTCTCCCACCTAGATTAATAAAGTAGCTTAAGAAGAAAGATGATATGAAATTACCTGGCGTAAAAATTTATTGGCAATTAAAGCATCAGGTGAAACATCTGTCTGATGACAAGTAGGGCAGGTATGTTCCTCGGATTCGAGTAATGATGTTCTGATACCTGTTAACAGTTTTTAAAATATGATGGGAAATGCACAGAATGTGTTCTTGTATCATACAAAGCACATTATGGAACATCTTGCAACCCGTTATGAAGTTCTCTAGCCTCAACCAAGGCATCACAACCTCTTACCCATTGCAACTAAATGGCAGAGCTAAATAACTATCTGTTGGAGAGACCCATTGCCATGGTTAGGATCCAAGCATCGCCCCCCCCCCAAAAAAAGTCCTCTCCTTGAATGCCATCCTAAAACATGAGAGATTTTTCAGAGAGGTTCTTATTTTGTAAAAGCACAAGTAGTCAGAACTTTAGTGGTCTCTAATGAAAATGCTGATAAGAATCCCGCCTGCCTAACCCAGAGTGCAATGGGTTGGGGTCAAAAATCCAGCTTTCTTTCCTCTTTCCCCAAACAGAACCAAAGCCCACTGGGACCAGAGTTGGTGCCCACTGCTCAGAAAGCAGCCACCGCCAGCGTTCCCTCCCAGGCAGCCCTGCTCTTTCCCCGTCGCTTGGAGATGCAGGTCAAAGTGTGGTGCTCACATTCATCGCAGTAGCTGTTCCCACAGCAGGGAATGACGACGGCATCAGTCATAATATCTTTGCAGATCAGACATAAGAGCTCGTCTGGGATAGGGTCGTCTTCTTCAGAGGAGGAAGATGGCTCTTCCGGAAGGAACGGGGGCTTCTCTTTCTTCCCAATAGCGTAAGCCTCCCTGAAACAGAGCAGCTCTACTGAAACCTCTCGCATTCAGCTGGTAACAAGGGACACTGATACAAAGCTTTCAGGGAGTAACTGAATGACAGGAGGGTAGCTTGGACAGGTTGCTTCTCTAGCCCAAGCTATGAAACTGCTCACATTAATACAGTAAGTTAATTTTAAAGGCATGTGTTAAAAATGAAAATTCTGTCTCATCTTCGGTAAATACAAAGCACCTTACAAGCCATTAACATTCTTCAAAGGCTGAAGCAGCTATACGGTCTGTTCCACTATGCACAACAAAAATAGAACCAGGCCTGCATTGTCAAATCTGACATTTTCCAGAGGGAGCTTTTATAGATTGCAGTCCACTGCCTCAGAAATTTCCTCCCTCAGTCAGTGTCAGAGGAAGTAGACTGCAATCCACAGAAGCATGAAATAAACATGAAATAAAACCAGTCCGTCTTTAAGATCCCACAAGACTTCTGGTTTTGTTATATGCATGGGTGTGATATAATATTCATGAGCAACAGGTTATCTATGAAGAATTTTCTCAAAACCAAAACCAAACCAAGCCACCAAACCAACCAGAGGTATATCATTCTCAATGCAAAACAGCTGAGACATGCAAAGCATAATCAGCCAGTCAATCAGCACTTTTCCAAATGACATTAAGAACCAATGCAATATGGTGTGAAAGGTTCCTGGGGCAGTTCAGCCCAAAGAGAAGACTGATGGGGAGCACAAGCAACAGCATAAATGCAGGAAGCTGCCTGGAGAACTAATAGTAAACTACACACTAAGAAACCCAGCAAGAAGAAATCTAAATTTTTTACTCGCTATCGATCTATAACAGTTTTTCAGTCTATTCTTACTGCAAGCAGGTTTAACTAGCCTCCCAAATTTCGATGCTTCAAAGAAGAAACTCAAACTTAAACTGTTTATTTTATCACGAAGATCTGGATACTTACGCATCAATAGTTGGGATGGCGTATTTCCCTGTGTTGGTGAGCATAGCGCCCTTTGTATTAGGGTCCTGTACCTCCATCATGAAACTTCGTGGAATTCCTGTGCTCTTTTTAATCCTGGGAACAGACTCAAAGTTTTTGTCCTATTGAGGGAGGGAAAACACAAACAACTATCTAAGACAATTTTCCAGCAGTCTCTTTGATCAGCCCTGTCAAACTGGCTGCGTTTCTTGGGCTATTTCAAATATACAACAGTGTATTGATGTAATAAATTCTGTAGTTTTAGAAATAATGCTATTTAAGTTAGCAAACTATTAACTGGGGTGTAAGAGAAAAACAAAACAAATTATGCTATTTTCTGAACAATAGGAGGCCAACTATCATTAAAAACAAGTTTGCAAAGTCAAGAGTGCCCCACAATAGCACTACATAGTAAATAAGCAATCTTCACCCTCTAGTTTCTCCATTATTGGAGGTCAGAGTCACATATAAAGCAGACACAACAGAATGAATTTATTTCCCTGTTCCCCAATAGAAAGGCATCCAAGGTGGACACCACTGATATTTGCGATCTCAACCTACATCTGGCCAGAAATATTGGGAAAAACAAACCATATCTTTAGCGCAAATACCGCAGCGCAACAAACGAAGGGACAGAACTTTACTTTTTCAAGTTATATTGAGGGATAGTACTAGAAATAAAGGCAAACTATCTGAACACAAAGAAACAAAGAAAGGAAGCTGTATTTCTACTCCCAGCCCTTACCCCATTGGTCGGGCAGATCTTTATATAATGACCAGGTTTTCCACAACGAAAGCAAGTATATGTTGGCGGAGGCGGCCCCAGAGGTTTCTTCATGTAACTAAAGAGGTGTAAGAAGAGAAGTGTGCATCTGTCCAGATTTGTTTTTTTAAAACGATGAAAGCAAATATGTTAATTATGCTGAAGTTAGTTTTTTTGTTTTGTTTTGGCGTGTGACATGATGGAGACTTACTTGATAGGATCATATTCGTGGCCAGACTGTGACATCATAGCTTTAATTTTATCTTCTTCAGAAGCATTGGCTTCAGCCAGATTGGCGGTCTGTTCAATAGGTAATCATTTGACATACACATTAGAAACACAGTTAAGTCCACTCAGTCAAAGACAAACACCACTCATTCAATCCTGTAAAGAGCAGCACAAAGCTAACTGAAGTTGCCTCAAAAACAGCTGAGATTGTCCTGAAGATGTTCCAGGGAGTCCTTATGCCATTACATGATGTTTATGTGCCTGTTAACGTAAACTGTAAAGGAAAAAAAAAACCTTCTCTACAGGGGCATTCTTAACCTTAGGCTCTGTCTGTACCTTACATAATGGCTTGTGTAACTGCTCCAGTTCCCTGTGATTTAAGTGGTCTGGAGTCAACTATTGTAAAAGATACTTCCCACCATACTTGTGGATACTACAAGTTAAAAAGCACAGCACTTTAAGCTGTCTGGTCTGTCAAGCAGTGGAGGTGCTTTTCACTATTGTCCTCATTTGTACAAAGGATGTATGTTGCTATTACTTCAAATATTAAAGGGGACGTGTCATCCTGAAAACTGGAACTTCAGAGGCTCAGCCAGATCCCCTTTAACATTGTGGAAAATGACTTTGCGGTTCTCCTTCATGTGTCTTTAAAAGGAAAATGCAACTGAATGTCCCCCAAAAGCTGCAGCAAGTAGCAGGCAAAGAATAATTTCCTGCCAACTGGAATTTGTGGCAGCACAAAAGGTTCTGGACACACAACTTTCAAAATGACAGTCCCTTTAAGATGTGAGCCATAAGTGTGCGCCTCCTGTGCGGAGCTAACAATTTCAGATGCTTCGTACCTGCCACAATGGTTCATTATATACTAAATACAGATACAAGCAAGGTCTAAGGGTCTGGCTACTAATGGTTCAGCTGTTCAAGCACCTAACATTCGGATCAACCACACACACTTTTTTTAACATTCATTCACAAAAGCAAACAGCTAGTTTCAACATTTTATTAAACAGTTGATTAAAATACATAACTTTTCTTAACAATTGAAATTAACAACTATGGAATTGTTCACATATACAGAATACTATTTTACAAATACTTAGCTAATTTGTTTGAACCCAAACAGTCTTACAAAACACATTCAATAGCATAAAACATTAGTAGGAATAGACCAAAATTCCAATATGGCATTTGATACAAAATACGAATAAAACAGAAAACTGTTAAACACATTTCCTCCATGCAAAAATCTTCTGCATTGAAGAGGTTAAAGTACATAACAGTTTTGACCTGCTTTATATGCTACAGAATACTCTGTATTTGTCAGAAATACTTAGGTTCTACCTGAAACTTAAAAGTGTACACCTCTTGGACATTTTTTCACATCTCAGAAAAATAACTTGACATGAGCTTACAGAACCACGGACAACTTTAAAGACAGCACTAATGGAAACCAAACTTAAGGTAACTTGCTTGACTTAAATGGCGTACTTGCAAATGCATGTCAGATTCCTCAGCATAACTACAAAAAGTTTTCTCTTGGAAAAACATAACGCTTCATTCACAAAAGAAACACAAATTACTTATTAGGCAATACTGCTTCTAATAACTCTTTTTTTAAAGAGCGATTATTCACTTGGATGATGTATATCATCACTAATGCTTTTTCCCAGACAAAGTTACACATTATTGAGCAAAAAATGCAAGCAGATTAATAGCAAAACAAGGCAGATACAACAGTTTCAGAAGGTCACATTTACCAATATGCCACACATACACATTGGTATATTCCTATAAATACATTTACACAGTCTGTGTTCAAACAAATTAGTTGCATTGCTACTGCTCACTACATAGACTACAAGTGTACAACTTATCAAATTATGTTACGTAAATTATTGTTTTACCACTGGGTATGAGTGTAGAATCCCAAATAATCACGCAAATTGTCCATATGATAGGGAAATACTTCTATTTTGGCTGTGACAGAGAGAAATCCTAGGAGTCCATAAATAGTATTAAAATTCTTCTTTAAAACCTTGCTATTTTTCCAACGCAAAATTAACGTATGAAAGAAAACGATAAAACAGCTTCAGAAGTGGTTCTTCTTTGTGTCTTGAAGATGAGTAAAACAGCAACATTATGTTGAGGCTGATAAGGTACTCCCCTTCTATCTTCCCATACTGGGAACTACTCTTTACAGGATAGTTAGCAATAAATATACACACATTTTTCAATAGGCAGGCTTCTCACTAAAAATGTTTTGCACTAGTGACAGAAACCAACTGGATAAAAGTCACAGCATAAAAACACCCAAAATAGCAAGCAAGCAATGATTTTGGCTATATTTGACAAGAATATATGTATATATACCTTTGTAAGCTGGGCCAGAGAAATAGATGCAGAAGAGTCATCAATCTGTTCATAAAAAATTAAACACACATTCAAGTTCCACAATCAAAATGCAGCCGACACATTTAGCCTCTACCGTGGCATTAATATCTAACCTGAACGTATGCACTACAGAGGGGATTTTTTTAAAAGTATGGAAAGCCAAAGATATCATTGCCTGTACAGTTGGTGCAGACAGAAACACATCATATCCAGTTCTACAGAATGAACTATAAAATAGAGAACTCTCTCTAGCTCAACAGGATCAGCCCATCAGCATTTTACATTCTGTGATCAGGATAATCAAGTCTATGTCTCCCCAAAATAAAATTAAGGGAGTTACGCAACACCAGTATAGGGGAAGTGGATTTCACACAACAAACAAAATGCAGAGGGAAGCTTTTTCACAGCCAAATATTTTAATTTTGTTCACAACATATGTTTTATATATCTGGCATATTCTGAGCTTTGAAATAAATTTTTTAAGTGCAACATCAACCACCGTTTCAAAACTGACAGAAGTGGGATATTAATTAAATGCTTTGTGTTGAGTAGTACAGAATATCTCAAAATGTTGAAACAAGGTGTTTAAAACAAAGATGTATACAGTTTTTCAATTTAGCATTTCAATAGAAGCCACTGTAATTAAAAAAAAAGAGACAAAACTATTTAATGGCTTCTGTCCTAATGTCTTTCCCTAAACTTGATTATATTTAAACAAAGATATGTAAATCTTTTGGTAGCACTATGGACCAGGAGAAAATATTTAGCTCTATGAATGTTTTCCAGTCCTGGGCTGATCTATACACTTCATTCTATCTAGCAAGGCGTCTGTCATGATATGAAAGCAGATAAAATATAGCAACAAATCTACAACAAATCTATGTTCAGGAGAGGAATGTCTTCTTAAAGCCATAATTTGTAATTTTATGTTGATGAGGCCTCAAGTATTAAAACTGGACTCCTGTGCCATTTACTCACATTACAACTTACTGAAGAATTGAGGCATCCCATGCAACAAAAGACTATAACAATAAGACAAACTAGCCACCACACATTCCTTGTGAAGACACCTACAGATTTTAAACAATCTGGCTCAACAAGGAAATTGCTTAGGCCCACTGCGTGGAGTGTGTCCCATGGAAGTCCCTCAAGCGTTCATGTCAGGTACCAAGCAAATAAAGCCACACTTTGAGAAGAAGCTAGCAACTTTCAAACTGTTTCAAGATCACCCTAAGTGATGCCTCCTGTTACGCTTCTAAGGAAAGCTCTCTGTCCATATGATGACACACAGGTATTTTTGGATGTAATTTCTAGTCTACATTCCTGATTAGTATGTATAACATTTCAACGAGAGTTCAGAAAGGCAGGGATATCAAGTCTTTTTAGCAACAAACACCTAAGCACAGATGCCACTCTTCTTTTGTTTCCATTGTAGCTAGGATCAAAAACTTAACGTCTGCCCACAAGTGGCCACAGTCCTCCTCAAAATGAACCCGTGGGCTAGGTAGGGACAGATGATGGAAAATGGTCCCTTATCCCCAACACCCAGGCCTGCCATTCAAAGGTTACTGAAGTGCCTTTCAATCACATGCATGAATGGTTGCCATTCAATTCCACAAGCCAAATGACCTTGGAACATTGCCGCACTAAAAGTGAGCCCTGATCACCTTACCATGTTCTCAATTCATTCACACAGACGGGCTTTGCAAGCATCTGCCACAAACTGCCCCCTGCTTTCATATACACACACATCCACAACATGGAAATACTTTCCATGGGAGTTTTTTTCTAATAAAGTTTGTTGTGTTTCTTTTTCCCCCCAAAGAAAACAACCTTTATACAACCTTAGATCGATACACTCTCATTATTCAATCATGTGGGAGAAAGGACAGGCACACCTAGAATGTTGGCTATATTTTCTTTAGTCTAACTCAAACAGACCACCTCCACATTGCAGATTTCTGTACCGATTAAAAAAATCAAGTTCATCTAGTAATGTTTCACCCCGCATTTTTGAAAGATGTGATGCAATGATGTGGAAAACTGAAGAAATGAAGTGGTACCTTTAAACACAGTTTTCCCAAACTATGTTTTATTGTCAGAATGACAGACAAGATCCTTATGTGTGAGTGATGTACACAGAGCAGCGCCATAAAGCAGAGAAACCTTAATTACCTACAATACTGCCGGGACAAAACTAATAGCTAGCTCTAAGGCATACATCCTGCATATTCAACTGCCTCTGAATTACAGAAACTCCGTAAGGGGAACTATTCCCAATATCTTAACTAGTGAAAGTGAACTGGGTGGAGGTAGTGTTAGAGTGAACAGGAGGAGGTCAGCAGAGCAGGAATCAACACATGTTACATCGAAATGACCTAAAATGTTTCTTAGAGACCAGCAAAAACTATAGTTTAAGTTCTAAAAGCCAACTACCTTTCAACGTACATCTCTCTGGGAAGGATAGCTTTGAGGCTGCATTTGAGGAAAGGAGACTGCAGATATGCAGCGAAAGGAAAAGATGACAAACAAACAAAGAACAAGGATTCATAATTTGGGCTTCACTTAGTAGCCAACAATCACAGTGAATAAAATGTTTTTTTAAAAGGGGCATTAAAAATTAACAATTTTATTTTTAATTTTTTTTTTGTTAAAACACTGTTTTTGTAGAAAAAGGCCCATGTGATGATCACTTTGATTTAAAATGTGCAGTGGCTCAAAAACCTCACTATGGATTATACAGCCTAATTCAATAGATTTTTGAGATTCTGTAATAAGCTAATTTATTCATCTAATCTTTTTCAAAGTCCAACAATTCCTAGACAAGAGGACCCAATTTTACTGAGTTTTACAGATGAATTATTAATTTAAATAACCTTGCTCTCAAGCATTCTGTCTAGAAGATACCATTGCAATAAACAATAACAAGAGTTACATTATTTTATTTATACACATGTAAATTATCAATTTGCACATGCATAAAGAAAACAATGTAACGCTTGGTGGCCACTACCACTGTTACAAGGTCCCTGGGTATATACTTTATCTTCCATGCAGGAATGCAGTAGCACCTTCTTTCTGATCAGCAATTTGCTGCCAAGTCATACACAGTTTCCCTTACATTAATGTAAAGTGGCCATAGGATCCTGGCCAGTGCACAGAAGTGAAAAATTACAGACACAATCAGTCCTACTTTCCAACTGTGCAGCGTTCTTTCTGGCAAACTTTGTTTTTTCTGGCACAACACGACAGAACACAAGAAACTATTGGAAGCCCTCTTAATGTATTCACGATGGCTTTCAAGAATTTTCTGAGTGAAGCTAAGTCCACTTGAGCAGCAAACTTGACAGTTATAACTCTGCAGATCTCAGAAGACCAAGTGAAACCCTTCCCTTCCCCCCTCTGAAAATGATTCAATCAATCTGGGCAAGGGGAGGATTAAAAAGATCTGTACTACTCTGTTTCCCCGAAAATAAGACCTAACCTGAAAATAAGCCCTACGATGAGTTTTCAGGAAGCCCTACCCCAAAAATAAGCCCTAGTTAAGTGAAACCCCGCCCTCCATCATTGGGGAGCAACCAGATGACATGACTATAAAATAAAACATCCCCTGAAAATGAGCCCTAATGCATTTTTGAAGCAAAAATTAATGTAAGATCCTGCCTTATTTTAGGGGAAACACGGGACAGTTACAGCTGGCAAAGTACACTGGGGGAGGTGACTATACAATCTTTAAATTGATTTTTCATTATTTAAATCAAGTCCTCTTCTTACTGACACTTCTATTTTGCTTGCCCTTTACTAAGTATCAGCCTATTGTCAAACCTTGCCCTTAAACTTCAAAGCTTGGCCCTCAAAACCTTAGATGATATACAGGCACTGGCCTTCTCTCCGCTATCCAGAGAAAACTGCCTCCTGGGATGAAAGGATTCACACACTCCCTTGGAAAACCAACCACTTCTCATCTGACAGGGAAACTGGACAAGTCAGCATAAAAAGGTAAAGGTTCCCCTTGACATTTTTAGTCCAGTCGTGTCCGACTCTAGGGGGCGGTGCTCATCCCGTTTTTCAAGCCGTAGAGCCAGCGCTTGTCAGAAGACAGTTTCCGTTGTCACGTGGCTAGGGCTAGGGAACACAGTTTTACCTTCCCACCGAGGTGGTACCTATTTATCTACTCGCATCTGCATGCTTTCAAATTGCTAGGTTGGCGAGGAGCTGGGACAAAGTGACGGGAGCTCACTCCGTTACGACTGGTCTTCTGACCCTGCAGCACAGGCTTCTGCGGTTTAGCCCACAGTGCCACCACGTCCCAAATCAGCATAGTCAATGGGAAAAATTTTACACAGTCACTTGTCTCGGATCCTTTTTAAGGAGAAAGGTGGGGTAAAATATTTTAAATACACTTACGAATAAACAATCCCAGCTTTAAAGCAAGCAACACATGCTGCTGGCCAGCAAACAGAAATTATCTCCACATGACAAGATTTCACAAGAGTGCCCCACTTGAAAAGGCAAACTATTTACAATAGTGATTACGTAAAAGCTAACCAAGGAATCTATAGGCTGAAAATGTTCTGCATATGCCTGATTTTAAAAACACGCCTTTAGAATAGCTGGATGTGCAACATATTCTTCTTTGTTTATGAACATGTAATCAGAAATCTTATTGCACATGACACAGCATAAAGTTACGACCATGATGTTCACAGTTATAGCTAGTCTACATTGTGTGACTTAACTGTGCAAGTGTACCTATAGTCAGAACTGTTTGTGGGACAACCCTAACCTTTCTGCTTCCACCAAAACTGAAAATTACTGCTTTCTCCTACAGCCCCGTGTGTTGGGATATGGTCCTTTTTCTGTCCACTGAGTTATTTCTTTACAGCACCACTAAAATATCGAGCTGGTTTCTCGATACCCGTGAGCCATAAAAATGTGCTCCAGGAAGCTGGAAACAGGTTTTTGGTATCACAGAGGACACCATGAAGAAGAGAGAGTTATATTTAATTTCTTTAGCACTGGATACTGAATGTGTCCAAGTAATTGTTGTTTTCTGCTAACTTCATCAACAATTTCACTGGTCATGAAGTCAAATACAACCTTCCATTAAGAGGATACCTGTACCATACTAATATAAAATAAAGCAAACACACAAAAACACAAAAGATATACGGAATTGCAATTGTAAATGTTGATGGAGGCTATTCTGCCATAGAAGCAAACTATGAACTATGTGAAGTAAATATACTACTACATGACAGAATTAATGAACTGGAATGGAACAAAAGCACTACCAATGTAACTGTACAAAGGCAATGGTATCTGAAGGGCTTTATAAGTCTCAAACTAAAGAGTCTACTCAGTGGGAAAAAATGTATAACTAGCGAATTTGGGGTGGCTGGGGGAGATGGCAGGAGAAATAATGGGATTTAGTCTTAAATTGATAGCAGAACAAACAGGCAGTCAGTTGTGCCTAAACATATCTCAAATATATGCTGGCTACTGTGATCAATTTAAATTATGTGTTTGTTCACAGAAATTGGAAGATCATACTGGACATTAGGACTGTTCTTTGCTCTAATATGTTCTCTGTTAATGGAAACCAAGTGAACAACTTTGTGTATTCCAGTGTACATTCAGCTGCACAAAAATGCCTCTGACATTTGAATGTGTGTTTGACCCCAAGGTTAAGAATGTTAAAAAGTTGAAGAACATGGTTTCTGATAACATTCAAAAACCATAAAGGGGAAGACTAAGAACAAAAGCTAAACAATACATTGTGGTCGTGGCAAAAAAAGGATACACTCCAAATGTCTTTATTTCAAGAAAACAAAAAGCAGACAACAACCTATACAAACATACAACTACCAACTAGACACACAGATGTGGAACAAGGCAATCATGTGCAGTAGTGCAAACCTCAACTTACATGATCTAGAAATGATCATACAGTATCTGTACAACACAAAGTCATACAGGAAATAATCTAGCATTCAATATGCTATACAGTGTGTCACTTGGCACAAGTGTAATTATTCACATTAAAATGGTTTTTGCATTGGCCATTTTATACTATACTGAAGTCGAAATACAATTACAATACCAAAGCTTCTGTGATAAATTAATGAAAATTAGTATTTCGAAAGGTATTTTATTGCTACATTAGTTTAAAAAATAAACAGAATGTGTAGAAGAAAAAAGTGTGAGATTGTGTTTTTACATACTGCTTTTGAAGGTCCACTCACTGGTTCAGTTCGACTTCTAAAAAGGGAAAACAGAGATTGTCAGAAACAAAGCAGCACACACACAGCACAAAGCAGAAAAGGGGGTATTCGAGAACACCAGCCCTGTATATATCAATAGCACATGAAGAAACAGCTGCCTCTTTTAAAAGGCAGGGAGTGCCTGACTCTGGTCCTGCAGAGAAATACAAGTAGCAAGTACCAGCCAAGGCCCAGAATCAACTAAGAGTCCAACCAGAGTCAAAACACTGAAGTAATCTGTATAAACATCTACTTGCCAAGCACCTTTTAATTCAGTGGGTCTCCTCCAGTTGGGACTAATAACCTATTACAGTATTCTCACGGACAACATAAATTGCATTTCAATTGTGCCTATTTTATTTATCTTATGTTTCATTTTTGACCAAACTCCAGGAGGCACTGGAAGACAGGAGGGCCTGGCGTGCTCTGGTCCATGGGGTCACGAAGACTCAGACACGACTTAACGACTAAATAACATGTGTCATTACTACTGCACTACACTTTAAGACATTCAGCTATAATCCATTCTTACCGAGTCCCCGTTCAGGGAAATGGATTGAATTCAGCTCAAATAAATAAACTAATAGTGAACCTGGACACACACAAGTTTACCCAAGAGGTCAACCCTCCCCTTGCTGTTAATAGCATCAACTAAAAATGCTAGTTCTCAAAACAATCACCTGAAAGGAATTTATAGGGTTCTGTATGAAATACGTTTACTGAGGTTTTAAGCAAGTCTGGAATATTTTACAAACTGTCAGTTAACTAAATACAAGATGTATAAGTGCTAAGAAATATACAGATGCATCAATACGTAGCTTAATAAATAATGGAGGATTTTGAGGACCTTAATCCATGGAGAAGATAAGCAATCAAACACACATCTTTTTAGTTTATTTACAGTAACAACTACTTATATTCAGATATAGATTATGCTTTAGGAATACAGAGCCTTCACTTTCAAATGGCTTTAATTACCTTTAAAAAGTGAGCCTATACCCTGAGTAACTTTCATTAAAATAAATCTAACTGCCAAATACACAGCGTTTCTGGGATTCATGAGCTACAGCTCTAGAGGAATGGAGCCCTTGTCTCCTAAAATACACACCCAGTTCTTCCTACTATGCAAAGCAGCCATGGTTAGTCAGTGTGATACACTCACCTCCACCCTACAACTGTAGAAGACTGGGTGAGTGAGCTGCTTACTTGGGCTTTTTATCCAGCACACAGCCAGTATAATTAGCCTTCTGCTCTATTCTCCAGCAGCACAATTATAACGAAAGCTACATGTCTTTTTTCTACAGCCAGGTTTATAATTCATGGTGATATTCAAATTATTTTAATTCAAAATATTATAGGAAGCACAGTTCACCATAAAATCTAAATTTAAGAAATGGTACAATGTCTAAACTAGGGTTAATAGCAACAAACCTGTACCCCAAACTGTGGTCAAATGAAACTGCATTTCAGTAAAAAGTAAAGGCAGAAGCCTCTGGCTTCTTCTTGTTGGTCATGAAAGGAAAAGAGACAAGGAGCATGTAAAAAGCCCAAGCAAGCAGCTCACTCACTCATTTATGAGCTAGAAGCAGTATGACACTAGCATTCATACATGCCACAAAAGATCTGTTCCATATTGTCTTGCGTGAATTAATAGGTGAAATATGCACTACAGGCATCTCAAGACTGGCTCTAGCCACCAGAAGGTTATAACTTAAGACTGGTATTTATGTCATATCCCTAACAAAAATAGAAAACTCTTCATTGCACTTCATCTTATTGTGGTTATTATTCACTTATGTTGCTGTTCTATCGCCTTCTGAAACCTTGATTTCTCTAAATTGTACCTTATTTCCCCATGGGCAATGTACAGATACAGTTATGATACAAAATTTGTGCTTTTCTAACACCGATATTGAAATAGGACTAACAGATGGGATTATGTTGGGGTGATGGAAGACAAGATACAAGAAAGGTGTATTAATGAGTTGGTGGAATTGATGAGTGATTGAAATTCCTTTTTGGGTGGGTGGGGAGTACAACTTCAAACACATTTTTTTCACTTTAAACCACAGGCTATTTCTTAGTGAGATCTGTTTTATCCTCCAAATGTCTAAATTCTGATTTTTATTTTTATATATAACAAATATAATCAACCCAGCCAGTATAATTAGCCTTCTGCTCCGTTCTCCATCTTCAGCAGCACAAAAGTCAGATATATATCCCAATTGTAACTAAAGTTGAGGGGCTTATTCCCTTTACTGGCAATTGCTCTATACAAAGATCAAGGCTTTGTGCTTCGAGATGTTCTTCTTCCACTGAACAACTGACCCCTTTACTGCAATAGCCTGTAAGAAACTGTTCCATTAATTTTCAGAGAAACATTTCTGTGGCTGGATTTTACCCTTGCTATATGTGACAGTGATGTTGCCCGTTTCTACCACCATGGAGGGTGTGGCATGAAAATAACGACCGGTGTTTAAACTGTACTCCAAGGCTTTTTTAATAAACTGGCTGGAATTAGCAGAGCGAGGGAAAGATGTACACCATTATTTCATTTCAGGCAGAAAACTCCACACCTACAAAAATATCTTCACTATTAGGACAGCTGGAACAGCTAAGCATCCTCTCCACTGTCACTTGGCTTTACAGGAACAATCTTCCCATCTACTGAACAATACGCTTCCATACCAGTAAATTTCAGCTCACTCAAATGGTGTAATCTAGAAGCCAAGCATTCTTAGGTGCAACCAGTGCTTTCTTGTGGACATATATATATGTCCATATATAGTGGTGCCTCGCTTAGCGAGCGCTCTGTTTAATGACGAAATCGCTTTGCGACGAACTTTTTGCGATCGCTTCACGATGTTCCCTATGGGGTATTTTCGCTTTGCGATGATCGGTTCCCTGCTTCGGGAACTGATCATTGCAAAGCAACCATTTTCGCACAGCAGATTGGTAGTTTCAAAATGGCCGCCGGGTAAACAAAATGGCCGCCTGCTGTTTTCTGGGACGGATTCCTCACTTAACTGGCAGCGAAAATGGCCACGCTATGGAGGATCTTTGTTGAACGGTGAGTTTGAAGCCCCTAGGAACGCATTAATCAGGTTTTAATGCATTTCTATGGACTTTTTGATATCGCATTACAACGTTTTCATTCAACAGCGATTTCGCTGGAACGAATTAACGTCACAATGCGAAGCACCACTGTACTGGCAATTGCTCTATACAAAGAGCAAGGCTGTGTGTGTGTGTATTTATTTATTTACAGACTATACTACTACTTGATAACAGAGTACTATGAACTACGCACAACTATAACTAATCAAGAAGTTTAAACCAGCTCCCCTTGAAATAAACAAAAGGATTCAAAGTACACTCTTCCATCTGAATCTTGCACTACTTAAGATTTACTGAATTATTCTGCTCCCCGAATGCCCAGTCAGATGGGGAGGCAACCCAATAATACAACAGACCTGCTCTAAATCCTACAACAGACAGCCAGGACCAATGCTCATCTCTCCTTGTCCTGTGTACATGAATCAATAATGTTCTCTCTGCCCGAGTTCTCTGATCACAATGAAATGGTTTAAATTTTCATGCTAGCCTGAAACAGGCAAAAATTTACAAGTATGGTAGATAAAATATGATCCAAAAACACTACACAAAGCATGTGCTAAAGATCAAGTTTTTCAATAGTTGTTGGTAAAAGCCAACTCAAATAGAAACTGGTGCCGACTTTTCTGGATGTTGTTCAGGGGCAAACCTAGCAACCACCTTTCTTCACAAATCGCTAGACAGCTCACCATCAGGACTGCAGGCCATGCATGAATGGCTCGACAAATTCCAGGACTGTAGTGACAGAAGTATTAAAACTATAGCAAGGAGGCTGCCAAGTATTTCTAGTTCCTCTTATAGCAGGTCATATAAGAAACAATTTGAACCTAATTGAATACTTTTTCATTCGCTGAAGGCCTCCTAGAAAAAGTGCTGCATTGCTTTAACTTGCATTCACTTACACAACTGAAGTTAGAGATCTTGTGGTTATTCTACAGCATGGAACAGTTATCTTGTTGGTTTTGTATTTATTTATTTATTTATTTATTTATTTATTTATTAGATTTATATCCCGTCCTTCTTACTTGTAGCCTTAATAGCTGTATCTAGAAGGCCTGGATGTCACTTACATAGGTTTACAACAGACTAGTAACTTGCCAAAAGCAGAGAGACCAATCAATGGCCAGGAACCAGAGCCAGACCGCTGCAAAAAGGTATTAATGAGTGTACTGGTCTTTTCCCCTATTGGGCTACACCAAGGAGGTCGACAAGACAAAAATTAGATTAAAATTTGCCACAGATTTAAATAAAAATCTGCAGACTACATGGGACACAACTGTAAAATCAGACAAAATGAATGTGCAAAAGTGCTTTTGATGTTTTACATGTAACCTTCAACAGTAGGCTTTTTTTCTAAATATACCTCTCTTCTTCCTACAATGAAAACTGTAAAAGGAATACTAGAAGTGAACAAGCCTACTTGAACTTTTATTTTAGTTCCTAAAAGCAAAGCCAGACACTTACATTACATATGTTTTGCTTGTACATTTTACTCCACCAATAGGTATTCTTCTGACAATAACAGATGAGTTCTTGGGAATCAGGGCATTATCATCAGTATACTCTGAAAAAGGAGACAAAGAGCATGTATGCTTGGTAAGGGTTCAATATTAGTAAGAACTGGTTCAGAATTTTACCCAGAGAACACCAAGGTTTTTCAGAATGCATTCTGGACAATTTTTTTTGCTTCTCCCACTGTTACTGAGGCAATTTTCAACAGCAACTGAAGTTACATTTGTCAGTATTAATTGGATCTATACAAAAAACCTATGGCAAAGAAAACATTACTGGACACCATAAAACACAACTTACTCATGACATGAAATATAAACAAGAAGCACAGCATGAATATGATAGATATCATCTCAGGGATTAGAGCAACAGGCATGTGCAGGTTAATTCGACAGACTAATAGTACTTGTAGACAATTATTCCTAAATAAGGATTGCATTAGGAATCTAAAAAAGCAGAAACCATTTTTTTCTTTAAAAGGGGGGGGAATGTTTCACAGTCTTCTTTGAAACAGAATAATATGAATTAATTTCATCCATCTCGCTTTCCATCTGCAATCATTCTACCTTTTAAAATGGTTGATTTTTACCATTGTGCAAGCAGCAAACAAATTTGCAACAGGCACTATCTGGCCATATTTCTATTTACTAACCATGGGAAACTATGGTTTCAGGAAAGAAAAAAGAAAAACCTAGACTGGTGGAGACTTGAAGAAAAAAAGAGAAATAGATGTTATGTGAAAACATCTTGGAGCATCACTTGGTCCATAGTAGGATTAAGAATGAATATAAGGACATCAACTCTGTGAAGCGGAGGAAAAGGTTCCAGAGCTTAATTTTAACCATGGAAAAATCTTAACTTTCTTTTCTTTAAAAAGTTTGTAAACTCTACTAGTAACGAACAGATATCAGTACAATATTAGAGCACACACACATCTTAACTATTCACAATCGAGGTAGCATAAAGCCTCAAATACACATACTCATCCAACCAATATTGCCTGAAACTCTGCTGCACACAGTTCCATGTGTACAACAGTGATGACGGCACCAGCAGTAGCAAATCAATGCTGATTAAAGGCTTCCTTTGACAATTTCAGGGTGTACATGACATTGTCACATTGCACCCCACAATTGCCTTTATTGAGCAGCAACTTGGCCCCGATGCCATCCCCACTGCACAAAAAGGGAATATCATTCATAATTGTAAAAGAACATATTCCACAATCCATATTTTTAGGGTTTTTTTTCAGAAAACCAAAAATAGATTTGGGGAAAAACATGTGTCCCCCTTAAAATTTTCTGTCCCCCCCCCCAGGCCTTCCCATCTCTAGCTGCACAACAGCATTCCAGCCATCATGTTATAAATGTATTTTCAGCTGTGCTTGGTCAAATCAATCTGATTTTTTTAAAAAAAAAATTATCTGTATTCAACTTAAAAAATGGGTGTCATTTATTTTCTTGGGGCTGGGGTATTTTTTGTAACAACCCTCATGTAAGACTTATATTCCATGTGGTCCACTGGTAAATGTCACACTTTCAAGATGTGAATGCAGACTTGCTAAGGCTCTCTGTAAGGGAGTTGAGGTTCTATATCGTACAATGAGCCTACCAGGTCTAGTCTCATGCTCTGACAACTATATCAAACAACTCAGTTCAAAGAAAAGGTTTGGCTTTGTGTGTGTG